TTTACGTTCCTCTTTCTATATTTATTTAATTATTATTATTATTTTATTTTATGAACTACATTTGCAAAATGAACGTAAAAGCAGCTACATTTCAGTACTCAAACAATCTTATCAAATTTTATTTTTATTTAACGTGTTTGCAGAATTAGTAAAAAAGCAGCTCTGCTCATAAATACTTCAGAGTATTTTCCTAACATTCACTCTTTCATATTAATCTCAATTATTGCACTGGTAGAATGAATAATAACAGCTTTACTTCAGCTTCATCTTCAATTTAACAGCAGCTCTAATTCGACTACAGGGTATTTTGTAGTCTGCACTACTCACCCACCGCATTCTCATTCACTTTCAATTATTGCACTTGACTGAAGGCATTATGTATGTCCAGTGTTCTTCGCTGTGTTCATATGGACAGGCATAAATCTATATAAGTAGGTGCGTGGGTGCCGCAGTCTTTTGTGCCTTTATTAATGTTATGAAAAAATAAAATTTAATTATAGCGCAAGAGCCACGCAGCACAATATACGTGTCCAAAGGTATTACACCTGAAAAACACAGAGCAGACAGAGGCGTCACTCGATACAAATGATGCAGCTCATCTCAGCTCAGTTCAGCTTCAGCTCTCAGCCCTTAGCCCTCAGCCCTCAGCTCAGCTGCCAAACATTTCAGGCTGGCCAACGGCAGCGATTGTAATTACCATTAATGCACGTCGTCAGGCTCTCTCCTGGACAAACTCGAATTTTACTTTTACTCGTATTAATGAATACAAATTGAATAAGACAAGCTGATGCCGCAGATGCCGGCTTACAGGTGTTGCAGCGGTGCGACAGAGACGGGGCATATAACTATATTAAGTTGCTTTATGTTAACTAATTTTAAGTGCAAAAGCAATGGATGGACTATTGGAGGAAGGGCAGTAGGGTAGACTGAGGGGTAAAAGGCAAAATATATTGTTTAATGTAATTGATATACGTATACTTAATTATTTATTCATTTATTGGGCTTAATATAAAATTAAAGCTCACTTAAAATTGAGCAAATTATATAAATAACACAGTAAATATGTAAATATTAAAATAATAAATTTCAAATAAAATATGAATTTAATATTGAATTAATATTGTTGAATATGAATCAACAATAGTTTTTATATAACTTTCACAAAACTTTTCTTTCTAAATTTATTTGAAATATATAAATGAAAAGTACTCAATTATGATTGAAATATGATTAAATTATTAAAATAATAATTAAATGAAAAAAAAAAAATGTATTTTAATTAAAAAAAAAAGGACACCTTCACTAAGATTTTTAGCTAATAAAAGGTCAATACAGAAAAATCTTTCTCACACTAATTATTCATATACTGTGTCCATAGCTCCGCTCAGCTCATCTCATCCTCAAGAAATATGGTTTTTGTTACTCCGATATATTGTTGAGATAACCCGAAGAAGCATATCACCTTAGTTATTATGCATTTAATGGCCACACCCACACACACACGCCCACACACACGCCCAATCATTCGCCCCCAAGATGCTGATTTGAATTTATTTCATTTCAGAGCGCAAATCTGCTTGCCAGCATGTCCTCCCCGTCGATGGCATTCCAGAGCAAGTCACGAAAATCTTTTATAGGCATTTTATTGCTCACCTTTGTGGCCTTCCTGGCGCAAGGTGTTTGGGCAGCTGACCCGGATGCGGCGTATGTCGACACTGAGCTGCACAAGGACAACGGTTAGCTATCAGCCGGATTGGCTTTGTTAAATTGGAGTTGCAATTTGTCTTTCGCATTTTTTCGCAGAGTTCCCCAGTTTGGCCAAGCGTCCGTCGTTCTTTGTGGGCAGTCGCTATGGGCGCTCCAGTGGCAATGGCGCCGTCAGCAATGGCATGGGCACCTCGAAGACGCGACGCCTAATCATCGTGCCGCGCAACGATCGATTCTTTCTGGGCTCGCGCTACGGCAAACGCAGCGATGAATACCTCTCGCCCTACGAACAGAACAGCCTGGGTCTGGGCCTGGCCAAGGCCGAACGGGAGCCCAACGAAGCCAGCAATGAGAAGCCCAGCAGCAGAGCTCGAACCATGTCCTGCGTCTACACGGGCATCAGCAACTTCTATCGCTGCAGCAATGCCAATTCGTAAGTTCTCAAGAATCGAATATCTGCATTTGCTACATATGGCTTATCCTTGGCAGTGAGGAGCTCAACCTGGGACTGAACATGGGACTGGACAACAATAGTATAGGCTCGGAGGATGCCAGCAACAATGTGAAGTAAGACATGGCATGGCATGACGCATTCATTGGCAGACGATTCTCTGGCTAGTTAAATATCCTTGTTATCCATTAGCTTCTCAGCTACACCCACACACCCACACACCCACACACACATACACACACACAAACACATTCTTTAATCTTGTTAAATGGTATTAAAATTTTTAACGGGGCTGGAAAAGTTTTAATACCCAACAATAACTGTGTAAATAAGTAAGCATACAATAAAATATGAAAGTGCATAAATACATCTGTATCAAATAACATAATAGGTTTACTGAATATATACATATATACATATATCTATATATGTATACATAATTATATATATTAACAAATTGTACTTTAATGCTTAATACAGTACAGTTCCATTCACTGGGTATAAAGGATCCTTTAGCTTCGCATATGAATAACCCATACATACTTACATATGATGTGATGATGTGATGCATATGAATAACTTCCATTATGCATGTATTACTCTCTTTCGCTCCTAACTAATAATGTAACGTTCAATAAAGGCAAACAGATATATACATAAATAGATGTTTAACTCTTTGCTGATCTTTGATGATCTGCCGAGATATTTTAAGTTCGTTTGCAATTCATCAGACATTCCTTCTGCAGTTCATCTCAGAAGACAGTTGGAGAGAGGTCGAGGAGGTCAATAATAATTCTACTCTATAAGAAGTGAGCGTCAATATGATAAAGATAAAGATTAAGAGCAATATCTTTGGAACTGTTCATTAAATATAATCAGCTTGACTCTGCTCAGCTTTTAGAGACTCTATAAGCTGAAGTCATTTTTATATGTATATATCAGACTATATTATATTGGAGATTATGTTTGTTATAATCTGCTCTTTTATAATATTTCAAAAAAGTTTCTCCACCTAAGTTTCAATTGTTTTATTATATTTCATCCAAAAACCTTTACTCTTTAAACGCCATATAGATGTAGGTCAATATAAACAGTAACTATATTAATGCTTACACATTCTTCCCTTGGGCCATTCAAGCTTCTCAATTCATTTAAATTCTTAAATGTTTTTGTTTCATCGGAAAAATCTCGGCCATAGCAAAGCAATTTCCATTGCTGCTAATGCATTTCTGCGGGCTGACATATTTCTCTTATGTACATACATATATACAACGGGCAGGGGCACAGGCACAGGCACAGGTGATGTATATGTTTGTATGCGGCACGTTTGTCGGCGTAAGTAGTACAAGAAATTTAATTATCATAGCCAGGCCCGCACCGATACAAGTAATGAGCGCGAAAAGGCGGAGCACTTACACCTGAAATGCCTTCTTGGGCGAGCGACGAATGCAGAAATGCTAGAAATTAAGTCGGCGCAAAGCAAAAGTTTGCCTTAGCTGGCATTGATTTTAATTGTTGGCAACGGATAGCGGTAAACGCCGGAGTACTCCATCTCCACATGAGCTACAGAGGGAGAGTGGGAGAGATATGGAGATATATATATGTTAAGCTAGCGGCAAAGTGCTTGCTAATTGTATTAAGTGGCATTGGCAACAATGTCATCTGGTAGCTTCCTTAGCTGCCTCTATCTCCCTCTCTGTCTGCCGCCCGCATCACAACTTTTCGGCAATCAGAACGTGACAGCGTGGCGATAGCTTCTCATCAAACAACTTCTCATAGCGCACCGTCAGCCCCAATTGCTGCACTGCAGCCAGCTCCTGCAGGTAGCACAGACGGTCGTACAGTAGGACATTCTCGCAGAGCACCTGAGTGAAAGAGGGAATACATTGAGTCAATTGATGGCCTGGTTGATGACAAGTAATGAGCAAAGTACCTGGATGCTGGCCTGCAGGCAGGTCAAAGCCTCCGCCAGACGGGCGCCACGCCCATGGCCATAGACCTGGCTAATTGCATCAAAGCGGCGCGCGTGCTCGGGTCGCCAGTCCAGGCCCAGCCCCGTTTGCCGTGAGTGCAGCTGATATTTCTGCTGAATGCTGGCGAATGTCTGCAGATCTTGGCAGTCAGTCTGTGGCCTCTCTTGCCTCCTGACTCTGGTCGTTTCATCCTCATCGCAGAGCGCTGCAGCGACAGCACGCTGAAACATTTGGCTGCCATGCGCCACATGAGTCCGGGCGTCACTTTGCCAGCGGGACTTGGTCTGCTGGCAGGCCAAGCGCAGGAAGGGTCGATGGAAGCAGCGAGCTGGACCGGCAACAGCTGACATGGCTTCCCTCAGAGCTTTGCTCAGCGGAAAGTTGACGAAGGAGGCACCATCCTCACTCAACGCGAGCTTGTGGTAGCAGCAGGGCATAATGTGAAGGCAGCGCACCTGAGGCATTCGCAGGAACAGGAGCATTGCACTGATGCTCAAGTCGGCGCAGGCATGGAGGCCAACGATTGCAGTGGGCGCCCGCTCCAGCCCCAGCGCAGCTGCATGCTCCTGAATGCGAGCACAGCAGCTGGCGTCGGCTGTGATGAGGAGCTGCTCGTAGCTAATCGAATTGGAATTCGTAGTTCTCTCTCGCGCTGTTTGTACCCTTTGCTCCTCGGCTTCCAGGCCGAGTATCAGATAATTGTCACTCAACTGGAGCAGCGCCTCGCTCAGGTAGCCCAGCCCAGACCCCAGGTCGATGATGCCCCTTGTGTCTAGACAGTGCTCATGTATGTGTGAGGCCAACTTATCAATTTCATGCGATTTCTTGATTGACATTTTGCAATTGTTTTTCTTGGATCTTCTGGGCGATTCGCCTGCAGCTGGGGCAGCTGCTTGAGTGGGCGTCAAATTTGCAATCTCTTGGCGAAAGCGTAGCACCTCCTCGGGGCAGTCCTCCAACGCCTCGTGCACAAATGGAAATCTGTTAAGCTGCTCATTTGATAATTCCAGGAAATAGTCCTTCATATAGGCAGGCATCTCATCGAGTGACTTGAGGCAGGATGTGTTCGCTTCGCGATATATCCACGCATAACGATGCAAAAAGTCCACAGCAGCTCCAAAATATGCGGCATCAGTGGAGAAGCCCCTCGGCAAAGACATGGCTGAGGAAGAGAAGCAAATCCAATTGGATTGTAATGGAAAGTGAATCATAAGTCTTGTATTCTAATTGGACAGGAGTTCGACTTGTATTTAAATGCCTGCTGATTCAATTGAATTCTAAATCTTAAAATTCCTCAACCTTAGTAAATACTAAACCCACGTATTATTTATTAACAATATATATTTATATATTTATAAATCAGGTCTCAATAAACAGAAAGCCATTTAACAAAGACAACTTGCTTTAATTATCGTTAACATACAGAATCAACTGCTTTCGCTGGGGAAAACAAAAACTTACACAAAAGAAACAAAGTATATAAAATAGAAATAGAACAACTGTAGCTTATGGTTATCTATATGTATATACAGTCAGATTTATGGATTTGCAATGCGCCTCATTTAGGATATGATCTTCCATTTCAGTTTAGTTTCCTCTTCTAAGTTTTCGTTTGCAGGTCCTAAAATACATTTGCCAACGTGTTTGGGCTCCTCCTTGAAGTACTTGTCGATAACGGATCGCAGTTCGTCAAGTGTTACGGACAGCACGCGGGATCGATACTTCACAAACATCTCCTGCGACACGCCGTAGAGGAAGAAGTCGATGCCGATGTTTCCAGGCGCTGTGGGTGAGTCCAGCTGCTGCAGTACTCCTAGCTTTGCCTCGAAAAGCGTTTGCTGATCGAGCTTATTGCTCTCCGCCAGCAGCCAATCGTAGGTCTTATCAAAGGCGTCCAGTGTCTTCGTGGAGTGCGGATCCCGATAACTGAAGAATGCAAATATGCCATCGGAGCCTATTTTCGCACCAGCGCCGTAAGCTCCATTCTGCTCCCGCACCACGGGCAGCAGATACTTGGCCGAGACGAGCTTGGCCAGCACGCGCAGCACCGGATGATCTTCATGCAAGTATGGCACTGCGAAGAATGACTTGGCGCAGTAGTTGACAGGAATATTCATGACGTAGTGCTGAAAACTCGGCTCCAACAGTTTCAGTTCATTCTTCTTATTCATATCCTTGAGCGTGGGCAGCTTCTGCAGGAAGTTCTGGTAGTGTTCCAGGGCGGTTGGTTGAAAGGCCTCCGAGGTATTGATGGCCACTCGCATGTTGCTCTTGCTGAACACCTTCGCTCCAATAGCCTTCAATCTGTCACGGATCTCCTCTGTGCTGTGTTGCTCCACATACTTCTTCATGAAGTCGATGTGATCAACGCCGGACAACAGGGATTTCAGTTTGGCAGCATCGCTGACCAGCGCAGCGGCACTTAACATGGCATACAAGTGACCGGAGCTGGCGATTCCAACTGATATATTAGAAATGTAGTTTTCAATCAGCATCTTCAGGCGATCCGTGTCGTCTAGCTTGTAGTTGAGGAGCAGCTCTTCGCACAGCGCAAACATATCCTTCACATTCTTATCCAGCGCGTGCGTCGTCATCATCAGGCCCATCTGATACGACTTGGCATCCTTTACACTCTCAACGAAGTTCAGCTTAAAGTCAATGCCAGCGGTTTTCGAAAGAACGAGCTTGTCGAAGTCACGGAAATTGTGGTTGCTGGTGCCCATATCGTCAATGACGTTACTGAATAGTGGGATAAGCATAAGTTCATCTCGACTCAGGCCCGTGATATTAAACAGGCACTTAAGGTAGGAAATCTCATTGGTGGGCACTTTGCACAGTTGCGTGGGAACATCAACAATTGTTTTCGTCTCTATCGTTGGTAACTTGGGCGGTTCCTTAACATCGTTCAGCGTTAGGCACGGCAAGACATCAGTGCACTCCTTGGCCTTTTGAGAGGCCTCCAGTTTAAGGCCATTCGTATATATTTCTTTGCGCTTTTTGGAGTCGAGTGCACTCACTTTCTGTTTCAGCATCTCGGCCTCAGCCTGCTTGAAGTTCTCCTCATACATTTCGTCCGGTGACATTGTTAGCGTAAGCTTATGAGTATTATTTGCGAAGTACTTCTCCATTTTCTGCTGGAGATACTTTTTATTCTCTTTAAGGCAGCAGCGTAACTGGGCTATCATCTCCGACACCCGTAGGCTGCTCACAATATCACCATCATGATTCCACAGAGACGTCGAGTTAAACAACAGGGCATTTCCAAAGTGGGGGCTCTGATGCTTCAGGGATAATTCCAAGTTGTGCAGAATGCTCTCAATGTGCTGAGCTTCAAAGCCTTCTTCGATGGTTTTGTGCACAGTTTGATCAAAAAGTTCGTTGAATCGTTTAAAGTCTTCGACCCTTAGGTCTTGCAGACCCACAACGAAGTATGTATCCCTACAATCCGAGGAAAAGCCCGTACTTTGATTGTAGCCTCCGGAGAAATTTGGCTCTATTAAGCTCTTATAGAAAGCCGAGTTGGGTCCACGAATCAATAAGTCGGATAAGACATTCAATTCAAAGCTCTCCTGTATATCGGTCGAATCACACATCAGCAGCGCAATAGCTATCTGGTTCTGCCTATCGAAGGTGGCGCCCAAGCTGTCCAGTCGACTGGGAATGTGTACGTTGCGTGGCTGTGACCACGGCCTTTGATTTGGTATTCGGCTATAGGAATTATCTATGCGCGAATGCTCGGACAGATATTCACTATCGACAAATGCCAGTGTTTTCAACAAGTCAAATGATCCATAGCAGAACATGCGCGCATTGCTTGGGTGATAGTATTTCTGATGGAATTTAACCAAATCCGTGTGCGTCAATTTGGGAATCTCCAGTGGATTGCCGCCAGACACATAGCCATACGTGTGATCTGGCAGCATATTGTTAAGCAGATTTTGTATGAACACCTGCGAATTCTCCGAAAAGGCTCCCTTCATTTCATTGTAGACAACGCCTTTGATAACTAGTTCAGAGTCGCGATTGTTCAATTCCTTGTGCTCCAGACGCCATCCTTCTTGCAAAAAGTCCAAGTAAGCTAAATTTGGCCTATAATATCGTAAAAAACGGTCAATTAAAATTAGCAAATTTATTTTAGGTACAACTCACCTAAATACAGCATCCAAGTAAATCTTTTGTAGATTCCTAAAGTCCACCTCGTTCATGGTTGAGAATGGATATAACGTGTAGTCCGGTCCAGTCATGGCATTCATGAACGTAGCAACCGAACGATTTAACATTTTAAAGAATGGATCACGAACTGGAAAATTTTTGGATCCACATAACGCGAGATGCTCCAATATGTGCGGCAGCCCCGTCGAATCGAACGGAGTGGTACGGAAATTAATGGAAAATACATTATTCGTATCATTCCGATCGATATACCAAAGCTCCGTCCCCGTTCCCAAATGCCGCAGCGTACACGAGACCAGCTCAAAGTCGGGTATATACTCGATGCGTTCGCACTGGAAGCCGTGGTACACCTGGCCTTCGCTATATTTGTATTTGCGATCCCCCATAATATGGGGCAGATCGCCGTCTAGCGCTAGTTTTGATTCCGCACTGGGGCCTCTCTTGCCCTCGTTGAGTGTGACTTGAGTTGACTTGAAGCATCGTCGAACCGTCTGCCCAGGCAGCACTTGGAGTGGGCGCGGCAACGCCTTCAACCATTGCAGACGTGTGAGCATATTTTATTTCGTTTGTTTGTGTGTTCGTTTGTGCGAGTCTATAAATGATAAGTACACAATACAAGTTGCAGATGTTATCCAGATCAACACAACACAAGCGACATTAGTTAAATAAAAACCAACATAAAACACGACACGAGTTTCAGTTACATCAGCCGGCATTCATTGCGTTTTACGTGTATGCATATAAATAGGTGTGCCTGTATATTTGTATGTGTGTGGCTGTATTCGCTTAATTTATATTGTGTGCCTTTCTGTATACGATAAATTTACTTATTTTGACATACAATCTGATTAAAATTCCAAACACTAAATCTATTTTATGTTTTATACTTTCAGCTTGCACTCAGAAAGATAATGCAACTTACCAATTTTATGAAATACAATCTTTTAAACTTCAGTCATCTGCACACTACATATGAGATTTCAGCAGTCAATATTCTTGAGGTCTATCGATATATTTGCAAAAGGCAAATTGATCTTAGTATTTTCAGGTATTTTAATTGAGACTAAAATACTAAATAAGTTCATTTAAACGATTATTAGAGTAAACTATCGAATTTGAACTGTTTAAATTTAGGAAAAATTACATTTAACGGCTAACCAAAGAATATTTTATTTACATCTACATTTAATACACATGTTCAGAATTACACAATGGTTACTTCATGCGTTCTGCAATTTGAAAGCTAATCTTTCGCTTTTCGGGCCTAAAATACATTTACCAACATGACGCGGCTCTTTTTTAAAGTACTTATCAACTACCGAGCGCACCTCATCTGCAGTTACACTTAGAACGCGAGAACGATACTTGCAATACTCCTCATGCGAGACTCTTAAAATAAAGTAATCCATACCAACTTCACCAGGCGCTGTTGGCCAATCGAGCAATTGCAGCACTCCCAGTTTGGCTTCGAATAACATCTGGTAATCCAGCTTATCGCTCATGGCTGCCAGCCACTCATACGTTTTGTCAAATACATCCAAAGTCCTCGTAGAGTGCGGATCACGATAGCTGTAGAAGTGGAAGAGTCCATCATAACCAATTCTCGCGCCCGTACCATAAGCTCCATTCTGCTCCCGCACCACAGGCAACAGATACTTGGCCGAGATGAGTTTGGCCAGCACACGCAGCACCGGATGATCTTCATGCAAATATGGCACTGCGAAGAATGATTTGGCGCAATAGTTAACAGGAAAATTCACAGCATAATGGTGAAAGCTCGGCTTGAACAATTTCAGTTGACTCCTTTTATTCATATTCTTGAGATTTGGTAGTTTTTTCAGAAAAGTTCGATAATGCTCCAGAGCGGTTGGTTGAAAAGCCTCCGAGGTATTGATGGCCACACGCATGTTGCTCTTGCTGAACACTTTTGCTCCAATGGCCTTTAATCTGTCACGGATCTCCTCCGTACTATTCTGTTGAGTGTACCTTTTCATAAAGTCGATGTGATCAATGCCCAGTAAATGGGACTTCAGCTTGCCAGCATCACTGACCAGTGCAGCGGAGCACAGCATGGCATATGTGTGCCCAGAAACAGCAATGCCTACGGATAGCTTGGATATATAGTTTTCAATGAGCATCTTCAGGCGATCCGTATCGTCTAGCTCGAAGTCAAGAAGCAGCTCCTCGCATAGAGCAAACATGTCCTTCACATTCTTATCCAAGGCGTAGGTCGTCATCAGCAAGCCAATTTTATAGGACTTGCCATCCTTAACATCTTCCACAACTTTCAGCTTGAAGTCAAAGTTAGCCGTTTTCGATAGAATCATTTTGTCGAATTCCCGAAAGTCGTGCTTCCTGGTGCCCATATTCTTGAACACACTGCAGAAGAGAGGCACGAGCATGGCATCGTCGTGACTCAAGGCCGTGATATTGAAAAGGCAGTTCAGGTAGGTGATATCATTGGTTGGCACTTTGCACAGTTGGGTGGGCACGCTCTCAATGCGTTGCTCCGTCAGTTGGGGATGTCCCATTGGTTCCTCAACGTCGTCCAGCGAAAGGCAGGGCAATACGTTCGTATTTTCCTTAGCTTTTTGAGCCGCTTCCAATTCAAGGCCATTCTGATATATTTTGCTCAATTTCTCTGGGCTGAGTTCATTGATTTTTTGTTGTATCAACTTCTTTTCGGCTTTCCGGAAGTTCTCACTATACGATTCATCCGGCGACATGGTCAACGTGAGCTTGTGCGAATTGGCGAGGAAATATTGTTCAACTTTTTGCTGTAAATAGTTTTTGTTATCCCTTAGTCTGGCACGCAGTCGGCCCATCATTTCCGATATTCTCAGATTGGCAAAGACATCACCGCCATGATTCCACAATGCCATCGAGTTGAATAGGATATTGTTACCATCGTCTGCCCTCCGATGCCTGACATTCAGCTCCAGATTATGCAGAACACTCTCCACATGCTTGGGATCGAATCCTTCAATAATTGTTTTATGGATCGTCTGCTGGAACAGCTCGTGGAATCTGTCAAAGTCTGCAATGCGTATATCCTGCAGGCCCACAGCAAAGTACGTATCTCGGCTGGTGAAGTAGTAGCCCGTATGCCTATTGAAGCCCCCGGAGAAGTTGGGATCAACCAGGCCCTTGTAGAAGGCTGAGTTTGGGCCACGAATCAGTAGCTCCGTCAGCACATTCAGCTCGAACACCTCTTGCACGGCGGTCCTATCGCACATCAACAGCGCGCAGCCTATTTGACTTTGCTTCTCCTTGGAAACGCCCATGTTAACCAGACGACATGGCAAGTGGACGTTACGGGGGAAGGACCAACGCGAATGGAGCGGTATATAACTGTAGGACGTGTCGATGGAATCATAGTCGCATAGATATTCCTCATTGAGGACTTCCAGAGTTTCCATTAGGTCGAAGGAGCCGTAACAAAAAATACGCCCATTGCTCGGATGATAATATTTCTGATGGTATTGAACCAATTTGGAGTGCGTTAAATTGGGTATTTCCAGTGGATCTCCGCCAGCTGTGTACTTGTAGGCGAGTTCTGGCAACAAGTTGCTCATGAGACCTTTTCTGAACAATCGGCTATTCTCTGAAAATATGCCAATCATTTCGTTGTAGACGATGCCTTTGATGATAATCTCCGATTGTCGATCATGCACATGACTGTGCTCGAGTCGCCAGCCCTCCTGGAGGAAGTCCAAGTAAAGCAGATTTGGCCTGGAGGGAGAGGAGAGAGATGCTTTAGGGACTCCTTACATATACAAAGCTTCATAGGACTCACCTGAACACAGAGTCCAAATAAATACGCTGAATATTTCTGAAGTCCGTCTCATTTCTGGAGGAGAAGATGTACACGGTTTGGTCTGGCGCAGTCAGTGCATTCATATTGGTGGCGACAGATCGATTCAGCATTTTGAAGAATGGATCGCGAACTGAATACTTCGCGGAGCCATTCAAGGCCAGGTGCTCCAGGACATGCGCCGCGCCCGTTGAGTCCTCGGGTGGAGTCCGAAAATTGATCGAGAATACATTATTTGTATCGTTGCGATCTATGTACCACAGCTCCAGGCCCGACTCCTTGTGCCGCAGCGTGTGGGACGTCAGCTCGAAGTCGGGGATATACTCGACTCGCTCACACTGGAATCCATGATAGAACTGGCCTTCCTTGTACTTATAGTCACGCTCAGTGACAACTTGTGGACTTTCTCTATGGGATGAAGCCTCGGCACAGTATCCCCGCACAATATCCTCAACTAAAAAGGACAAATTTCTGGCCACAGGCGTCTCATGCAGAGCTCGACGCAGTGATCGGGGTACTCCATTCAAGTATTTAACTGATCTACGCATTGCTCTCAATAAAATATCTACCTACTGAATTCTTATGCACTATGTGTATATATTTATATATTTACTTAAACCGGAAATTAACAATTAATGAAAAATTTGTATTAATCTGTTCGAAAGGGTTCTATAAATTCTGATTCATACATTTTATAGGCTACAAGCTGAGAACAAAATGAATTTCTAAATCTATAAGTCTGGAAATTGTAGTTTCTTTTTATTTGATTTTCTAGTCTCTTAGTTCTCACCAGCTCTGATAAATATATGTCAGAAATCGGAATAAAAATTCTAAATTTGGATCGTTTTCTCCGATCTTATAACGTAATTTCGTATTGGAATTGAGGAATATGCAGTGATGGCCGAGTGCATTGTCAGAAAGTTCAAGAAATGCGGCGATTGCATCTATGATAATCTGAAAAGACCAAGYAAGTTCTTTGAGTTTTCATGCTTCCTTTGTTTTTATTTATTTATTTTTTTTATTTTCAGTTTTGGTTGGGCTTTGCTTAGCTATAATTGTGTGTTTGATAGTGAAAAGAGTTTGATTACACTGATGGCACAGATATTAGGCGCACTCAGAAGATGTAATAAACAAATAATTTTGTTACAGACTTTGGGTGGGAAGATTCGAATTTTACACCAAAAAATCTCTTCTCATTGAAAGCTCCACAATATTTCCAATATTGTAATGTAATAAAATAAGAATTTTCGCTGTCATATTTATGAATAAAAGATATATTTATTTATAATAATTTTTTAATTTCTTTATAAAAATACATATTYAATTTATTCAAGATTTAAAGTGTTTCAAATTATGTGCATTACTTGAGAAAACCAATCAAGTAGCTTCAGATTACAATCATAGATCTCACAACTGTTCGACTTTGTGCTTGCCTTCTCGGCCAAAGTGAAGTCATATGCCTCGGGAGCAGCTGCATTCAGGGAGGTGGAGGGCCTGTTGTTATATATAAATTATAGTTATTTTATAAAATATTTATAAGGCATTCATTTATTAAAACTTACGCGAAGAGCACGTGCAACAGCTCCTGCACCACGCTAAAGTCCTTTGAGAACTGAATTGTGTTCGCCTCACAAATAGCTTGCAGCATACACTCGTGGCCATTATAGCCATAACTGGAATTGATATGAAAATATACACATACATATATACATATACATGTATACTTATAAATTACTCACTTATCCAACATGTGCTCAATGTATGCATAAATCTGCCAACGCAAATGGCTTGGCTGCTTTTGCAACAGTCGCAACTGATTCAAATTAGTATTTATGGGAACACTCTGGTGTTTGTATTCCGGCAAATAGGGATTTTGCCTGTATACGGTGGCATTGTAGGGCAGAAAAAACTCGGTTTTAAGTACATGACCAATCACCAAGGATTCATAGGACAAATCTGCGGGAATGCCTATGCCCGCAATAAACTACAAAACAAAACATGGAGAAGCTCAATCACATTTGGTTTAAGTAAATTATAATTTGAATTCTACCAGATGTCTTGTGGGCGATTGACGTGGAAAGATGAGAAACCGTTTGGTGCGCCCACCCAACCGAGCAGCCAATACCAAGCTGGACAGAGCCAGCAGCGAGATGTACCACACGATGCAACGCATTGCGACGGACTAAGTGCACCTAGCGGCAATTTGGCAACTGCAACCACCTGAGTTGCATCTTGGCAATTAGTAGTCCTCTGCTAGAACTCTAATTAGAACTATTAGTTAGAGCATTCACCAAATTGTTGAGCTACATTGAAATTAGTCTTTAATTCACACTTGGGTGTTGTGAAAGGCTTTCACATCAACAAACCCGAGGCATTGACCATTGCGCGAAATTTCCACCTGTTTTCTATGGGCAAAATAATTTTATTTTCAAGCTAACAGAAATTTGATTTGAAGTTAAATAAAAATAAAAAAGAATGAAAACAATAAATATAAAATTGAATTAAAATTTGTTAGCTCTATTTATCTTTTATAAAAACTAAAAAACTATTTATTACCGTTACAAAATTAATTACAAATTATATTTAATTACGTTTTAAAATTTTTTATAAAACAAAATTAATTTCGTTCGAATTGGAGTGTTTGTTGATGAGATATAATTCTGTAAACTTAAATAAAAGCAAACCTATTCAAATACCTTTTGTCAATAATAAAATAAAAATACTATCAGAATCTTAAAACAATTTGATAATAATTAAACCGAGCATGGTGTGATTTAATTTTAAATAGTAATAATATCAAAATAAGAATTTGTATCTTAACCGATAAACAATTTTTTTATTTGGAATTATCAAATCAAATGCTAAGCTTTAAAATAGACTATAGTTTCGAAAAAATCTCGCGCATGTTTTGTTTCTTGAACATAGACAGAAGTCCTATTAACAAACCATATAATATTATACAATAATATATATATATGTAATCTAGATTATACAGGGTATCAATAGTCTGTTCAACGTAATTTATCATATTATCGGCATTGAGAAACGAGACCCAGTGAATTATGCAAAAAGGCATGCAGTATTTATTGGTATTATGTTAATTATAATTTCATAGATTACTCTCATAAGATTTACATAAAAACTTTGTAAATAAATGATACGACAAGGATTGGATTCGCTTAATAATGACCTTATATAATGAACATTGTAAATTCATTTAGCGCGGAAGTCTGGGAATACTTAGAATACTTGGGGCGTTCCGTTTAAGCGTAGTTACGAATACAAAATCATTAAATTATATAGGTACATAAGCTTAGAGACTTACTAAGGAATACTTAAATGACAATTTAAATTAGGCATACGTAATTTCGAAAGCTGCATGTAAGTGAAAACATAAAAAATACATTTACAATGATACCGATCGACCCACAAATCCACCGAACGACCGACCGACGCCTTTGTTCTCTCTTCAATTGTTTATTGTATTTTACTTGTGCTTGTGGAACTCCTCCATACAGAGCTTGCAGCTCCAAGAGCCCTCGGGTGGAGTTACCAAAGGCGGCGACAGACAATACATATGGTAGCCGCGATCACAGTCGTCGCAGAAAAGCAGCTGATCGTCATTGTCGGAGGTGCCACAGATCGAGCAATATTTACATTCAATGCACTGCCAGCGGTAGCGCTTCACCGATATTATCATGTTGGGCGTGAACTGCAGACACGATGGATGACCAGAACGACCACAGTCGGAGCAAGACACTAGCTCTTCGGGCATATTGGTTTTCTTGTTTTCTCGCTGATCGCCCAAACAAAAGTCACAGTAGGGCGAAGGCTGTGCCACCTCACGCTCCGTTCGTAGCTTGGGCTTTTTGGGACTAGCCAATGGATTAGCTGGTGGCGCGTTTACCGTTGCGTATATAGCTGGAGTAGCAGTAGTCGTTGTCGACATGCTAGCCATGCTAGCCATGGTGGCCAAAGGGATTGAGTCGTTTGAGGCGCCACCATCATTGAGAGAAGACTTTTCGTACGATGTGGGTAGCGTGGGCGTCATCACCAAAGCCGACTGTGAGGTCTCATCGATAATGGGAATTGGTGATGCTGAGTTAGAGTGGTTTGTGTATAGTCCAGTGGCAGCTGCTGCCGCCGCTGTGCTGGCTGCGTGTGCCACGGCCGCGGCAGCCGCTGCAGCTGCAGCCGAAGTATTTGCATTATTGCCAGCACCGCCACGCCTCCTTCGATCCGGTGTATCGCCTTCAGCTGCATTCCGACGACGATTACCTGCAAGAGAGTGAAGGCTCTAATTAGCACTTGGCCACACAATTGGGCCACAAGTGTTTCTTACCGCCACCTTTGCGTCCCCGCTTCGGTGTGCCATCCACATTTGCATTCGTACGGCGGGGTCGTGAGCCACGCTTGCGCTTTCCTCTACTGCTGTACGACTCATCAAAGTCATTGTCAGAGTCAAAGTCGTCTTCATAGTCATCGGCGTGATGGTAATGCGATGAGTCCATGTCCTCATGGAACCAATCTTTCTCCGCATTTGCATGAGAGTCCTTGCTATCATTGTCCCCTGAAGCGCCCATAGAATTGCCATCTGTGGCCACAATGGCTGCAACAAAGTAGAATACGAATAAATATGTGTAAACATACATATGCATGCATGTTCTATGTATGTATGTATGTTTGTGTTTGCCAATCATACATACATACATACATACAATGGCAATATATATAAATCAGCCCCCAATACGCATTGTAAATATGCTTGCAGCTTTTTCTTATGGGGTGGCTACGCGCTGTGTACACACATACAACAATACACACACACACTTACATGAATACATTTATATTTATATGTATATATGTATGTGTGTATGCACGTATAGAATGTGCAGCTTCATAAAGCCTCACACATGTTTAGCAGTTCTAATTGAACAGTGGGCCAATTTGAATGATATGCAGTTGAAAATTATTTATTGACATTGGAATAATTGATATTTTATGGTTAACAATTTTAATAAATTAATTAATAAGTTAATAAATAATTGTAAAACCATATCACAATAATATTCATCAATATAATGATCAAAAATAATAAATTTATATTGTTTCGAATATTTCAAAAATGTTTATTTAATTGCCAATTAATTTTAAGTCTTAATTATTTAGCAAATAATCGAAACATCACTTTTTATGCATTTCTTAAATTTGTTATTATTTGGCAGCTTTAGGACTTTGGCAACTATAGGACACCACCATGCAGAGCTGGTAGTGCGGGTGGTGGGTAAGGATGTGACTGAACACAAATGCAAAAACAATTGTAAGAGATTTATTGATTTTACTACGAGTTTTGTTGGGTGCATGTGCGTGAGTGTGTGTGCAAGCATGGGTGTGTATGATATCTTTAAGTGTATCTCTTGTATATCCTACCTGCACTCTCCGTCTGATGATGATCACGTGCATTGACCGTTCCAGGACCAGACGGCGGCACGTGATGGTGCTGATGCTGGTGCTGGTGGGTCAGATGGTGCTCGCGGTACTGGTAGGCGCGGTAGCTATGGTGTGGATTAAGTAAATATTGGCGCTTAGGTTTGCGCCATCGTGCCGAGGGATACGTGTAGATTTGGCCATGTCGAAAGCCGGGCATCCGCTGCTTTCGCTTCATAAAAAGAGCGCAATGCGTCTGTGCGACGCCAGTCTGGGGATCGAGGAACGGCATTCGCAGCCGCCGCTCGATGCACAGCCGCGTGTTGAAGTTCTCGCTGTTCTCGAGTATCTCCTTGTATGCGGTATCATTTAAAAAGTTTTGAATCTTTTCAAAGTTTCCAATGTTTACTACCGCGATTTCGGAAGCCATATTGTTACCGTCGGCGTTCGTGTAAATGCAACGCGACGCACCCGTTATAAACAATATTGTATTTAGTTACTGCGGATTAAACAAACGAAGAGCGCGCTCAAACAGTGAGGGGTTATGATTTTCGGCAATCCACGCTGATTTAAACACCAGAAAGACACATTTTTTCCTCGTTTGCTTTCGCAAACAAGTTTTTATGCCACAAAACAAGAGACTCTGCAGGGTTGCCGCGTACATATGCAGTTTGTGCCAGCGATGTGGCAACGCTGCCAATTGAGTAAATTTGAACTGAAAACCTGGTCACACTGGTCGGGGCGTGTTTTGTGTGTTACTGACTCAATAATTTTTTGTATTAGTTTGCTCTCTGTTATTTATTGCCTAGTTACGTTTGTTTGTTTTTGTTTGCTGCAATTTTACATTAAAGTAAATCAAGCAATAGCCAGGCAATGGGTGCTTCCAACCGCAGCACTCGAGTCGCCCTAGGCATATCCACAGTCTCATTTCTACTTTTTGTTATTGCCTTTGCTACGCCCTATTGGCTGGTGACCGATGGGCGTCTGGAAAATCCACGCTTCACGAACCTGGGCCTGTGGGAGGTGTGCTTCAACCACTTCCAGGACATACATCGATTCTACGACACCGACTTTACTGGCTGCATGTGGGTCTTCGAGGAGGAATACTATATAATACACGATTTCCTACTGCCTGGATTCTATATCGCTGTTCAGCTCTTCGCCACGCTCTGCTTTGTGATGTGCCTGCTGGCCCTGCCCTTGACGTTGTCGTTCCTGCGCACATCTCGCGACGACGATCGCTACGTGGTGTTGCTGCTGACCATCGGCACCTGCCAGGTATTGGCATCCATATTCGGTTTCATTGCTGTGGTTATATTTGGAGCCAAGGGCGATTCGCGAGATTGGATGCCTGGCTGGCAACACAACGATATGGGCTGGTCCTTTGCCCTGGCCGTAGTTGGAGGCGTCATGCTGTTGCCCGCAGGCATACTCTATCTAGTGGAAGCACGCCGCGAGCGCTACAAGCGCCTCAACGAGATCAGCAACCGGGAAATAAGCGAATACGGCGATGACTACTATCAGAGTCAGGCAGCAGCTGCAATCTCGGCCGCCCCACCTTCGGCGCCCGCGCAGCCTTCATATTTTGCTCCAGAGCCCAGTCGTCCGCGTCGCCCACAGCCAGGAGCACGTCTGCCCACAGCACCAGCCCAAGGCAGCATCCAAACGGACATCTAAGTGCACAAGAATTGTAACCACAAATACGTCCATAAATGAGGTCTACTTCGAATCTCCGAACGAATAGTATATAACATATCCGTCCAATCGTAAAAGCAAATCTCTAAGCACCATTTGCGCCTTCATTGTCTTTAGTCTAAGTCTAATTTGCCTCGAATATATAGTATAATCTATGTATACAATTTTGAATCATTCCATAGTTTACACAAAACTTTTTATAAATGTTTTATTATATTATTTTCCTATAATGCAGCGATTGTATTTATATATTTTAATAATAAAATGCTTTTACACTCAAGAACAAAAGAAAATTCATTGTTAAATAAATTATTCATGCCTTTATTTTGTGCATATTGAATATTATCCGTTTAACTGTGCCTTAATCAAGAAGTCACTCAACGAACCCCTTAATAGTTTACATTGTTTATCAATTGAATATATACAAATATTGATAACAATCAATAACTAATATAAATGTATTTGTATATAAAATCATTGAGCTTAAGCTAAGATCAATCAAACAATTATATTCCTCGAAAACTCTACCTTAATCAACAATATTCCAACTTCAATGATTTATCTTCCAATTGATAAAAAAGAAGTGGATCACTTTAAAGTATATTCATTCCTCTGATAAATCAATATTTATCAAAAGCAAGTTGTACCTTTCTCATTATTTATAATTAAATTGTGAAAGAAGTTATTCATTGTTTTACTTTTAACACTGTAAATTTTTGATTGAGCTTTGATAATCCTTTCAGCATAGGCCATATACTGACTAGAGTACACAGATCGTTGTTCTGGTCAAACAACGGCCTTTCTATAGGACGGTTTGATCCAGCGCTGATCGGTATTCTCGCCACTTTGCTGTTCGAGTACCAGAAACAGTTCCCGCTGATGTAGTTCATCGGAAAGCTGTTCCCTCAAGAACTGTAACATATCCGCCTCATTACCCAGCAGTTCCGGCTGTCGGAGTTTCGAGTCCAAATTGTAGTAGGAATCCCCGATGCGACGTACAGCTATCCAATGTCGTCTACGCAATGGCAAAGTAATTACTCCGAACTTATAATCAGATGGAATGTTCAAGATAAAGCCAATAATTGAGTCAAGGTCTATAATGGAAGGGTCCCTAAGTGGAATTACAAATGTAGTAGTTACTAGAGTTAACGCAGCTTCACTAGACATTAATATTTACTTTCGTTTATCAAACCAAATGGCTTCACAGTTCCGTTTTTGCAACGCAGTCATAATAACATTAATATCATAGTTTCCCAGGCCAAGAACAGAGCGATGTGGATTAATCCATACATTTGGACTCAAATTATTGCAGATATCATCCAGTTCCCCTTTAGTATAGGATTGATCGCCTTGAAAGAGATTGTTTAGTGCATGTAAGGCACATAACTGCCTCATTTGTTTTTCGTGATAAACTGATGGCATAGGTAATTTTTACTGTAATTTTGAGTTTTAGTTATTTACAGTTTATGTTTCTGGACAATATTTTACTTTGTTGACAATCTGTTTACTTGTTTATGTGTGAGTGTGTGTGTGTGTATTGTTTTGTATGTTGTACACGTTACGACCTAAGAAACAAATTATAATAATAGGAGAAAATCGAGAAATGCTCAACTTGGATAAACTCCGTTTTACTAAATTGATATCTATCAATTAGTTATATATTCAACATTATTTATAAATATATAATAATAGGTGCATACCAGTATTTATTAAGTTTACATACAGTATTTTTAGTATATCAAAATGCCGTAAAATGTATTACTAATGTTTCCAGTTGGTCACACTAAACTCACCACAAACTGTCACATGATTTTCACCTGACATTTGCTAGCTTCTGCGAAAAAAGTCTATCGACGCGAATTCCAATTTAAAAGGAACTTATTTACATCACCCCGTCGAGCAGCGTTTAACGAAGCTAGCAAAATGAAAATTTGTGGTCCGAAATGCTCCCTATGCGGATTGATTATCTCCGTTTGGGGCATTGTGCAGTTGGTAAGTGGGTGTGCTGGTGAATTTGGTTTGTTTTGTGGGGGTCATACGGAAGAGTCACAAGACCAAAATATTCACATAATAATCGGTTTTATTTTTGTAGGTGCTCATGGGTCTGTTCTTCTACATACACAGTGTGGCACTAATTGAGGATTTGCCACTAGCTGAGGAGTACAAAACTTTAGATGAATTCTATACGGCAGCGAATGCTGCATACAATCAGGTTGGTGTTTCAATGTCGAGTCATACATGTATATATGTTTGTGTGTAAATATTAGGTACATACATGTTCTTACAACCCCTTGAGAGTTGTGAGGACTTCAGAATGCGGAAAAGAAAAAACTATTGCTCCTTTCATACGATATGCGTATATGCACTTTGTGTGTAGATATGCAAATATATACATACATATGTACGTACTCTATGGCATTGTGACTAAATAAATTTTCTCTTTTTTATAGAATGCCTACAACTGCTGGATTGCGGCGTGCATTTACGTCTTGACTCTGCTGCTCTCTGCGCAACAATTTTACATGAACAGCAGAGTAACTGCCAACTAAAATCTGTGCTTCAACTTCAAAATCAATGTTGCTTGGCTTGAGTGCGAGGCAACAATCCATTAAAGAAAAGAAACATCAAGAACAACAACAAAATGTAACTTGTGTGCGATCGGCGTCGCTGCTGATCGCATCTAATCACAATTAGTATTGAAATGTTTTCATGTTGAAGAAATTTGTTTATTTACTGTATAATATCCCCAAAGTTTTTGTTGCTAAAGTTTAAATTGAATTGAATATGATAATATTTAAGTAAAATGTATGTATAAATATGTACGTAATACAATTGTTTTGTTCATAATAATCACACATTCCTTTCTTAGTTCTACTCTCTCTGTATCGGTCCAAACGTGTAAAGCAAGTGCAACAATTGTGTATCATCTAGCTCCGCCGTTAGTTAAAACAATCTCAGAGTCAATCTGTATCCATACTGTACTTCAGCTAAATCAATTGTAAAAAAAAAAAAAATGTATTCCCAACCTGATGCCTGTATTAAACAAAGTTATCATCGTTAGCTTTGCGGTATTATTGGGGTATCATCCACTATATTCGTTCAAATTGTTTAATATCTACGAAATAAATATATATATATATTGAACAAAATTAATATGTTGCGTATTTATGTTTTAGGAGTGTTGCTAAATTTTAGCCTTTTCATTGTGAAACAAAAACCGGAAATAAAATTGGATCAAATTTAACTCTTTTTTATTTAATTTTTAAATATTTTTTTTTTTTAATTTAAATTTTTTAGAGTTTACCAGAATAGTTAGAGATAATCGGATATATATATATAAATAAATACAATACAAATAAAATGTATTTATACGTTTGTTAAAGCTAGAAAATGTAGGCCAAATTTCCTTTTAAAACTTTTTTTTATATA